TTTACTTTATCACACAGGCTGAATACTTGCGTGTACTGGCTTTACTTGGAAAGAAATAGCATCTTCCCTTAGCACATTTCTGCAGAACAAGTATAAATAAAACTTTCTTACGGTTTAAAATGGAAGGTTTTTTATTTATTTATCAAAATGTAAAATTTTGTAAAAATACGTGTTTAACATTATTTATGCAAATAATGATGTAATAACTACATCAGGAACTTAAACAAAAATAATTTACGTATACTACTACTGGTATTTTATTCTTTTGAGGGCATATATAAAGTTAAAATAAAAACTTGTTCAGGCCCTACTCTTAAAGGTTTACATTTTAAGTTGTACTTCTGCACCAAGCAGTGATGGAAGGCTACACAAAACATGCCAAATGTATAAAGTGACAACAAAACGATACCAGTTGAAAATCAGATAAACGCTACGAGCAAACACAGAACCTGCTTGAAGATCAACACTGTGGAGAAAATCTCTGTCACTGACTGGAGAAAATGATCCCCCCCCCACAGCTGCTGAACACTCAGGGATACACAAGCAGATGATTCTGATGTTTTCCCAGTTTGGGGCAAAAATTACACGAGCAAGATGTTGAATAGTAAACAGGGCGCCCTCTAGTGGATCTGCTGCGGAACTGCAAAAATAAATGAAAGATTTCTCACTAAATCTCTATAGTTTCCTTCTGCTAATATAACCATTTATTACAATACTACATTGAAAAGAAAACAGTAAAGAAACACCAAAAAAAAAAATCTTAACACAGTAAGAGTCCATATAAACACAAGCAGCAAAGGTGCTCTAGAGCGCTTGTTAAAAAATAGTTTATTTGTCCTATGCAGGTTAACACAAGGTCAACACTGCAATGAAATGTTCAGGATGAGAAGAAAATAAGGACAAAGCAACAAACCCACACAAAAGTAAGCAACATCTTTTTTGCGACTCAAAGACTTCAAGCCGAGCAGAGTTTCTACAAGTACAAATTAAGTTCAAGGTGCGGTTAAAGCTTTGTTTAAACCAGACTCTCTGACACCCTCTGCTGTCTACAGGCAGGATAAAAATAAAACACAAAGTTAAAATAAATCTAAGATCATCGTTTCTCAGACAATATTTGATGGTTTCAGCTGTTCATAGGCTGATTTAAAAGCAACAACTACGAGTAAAAAGTTTTCACTATTCATTAAATATTGAAGAGAAATGACAGAAAACTAGGTTTTATTTATGGGAGGAAAGAATATTTCATTGATTTCATGTGCAGGTCCGGGGACAGAAGTCTTACGTTTACAGGGGATAAAATCACCACAGGTATTTTATTTTGAAAGCTGATAGTGTGTGTGAGTAGGATGTTTTAGTGCGACACTAAAAAGCCCGTTTAAACTCAAGAGACACCCAGAACACAGGCGCTGAGGCACGCCTACGACGAAGACGTGATGGAGTCATCCTGTAATTTACCAATTCACCTCCACTGACTTTATCTAAAGCTCCATCTTCATATCACTTTAAAAACTGTAGTAACTAAGATTAACTTATAAGGTAAATGATAAATTAACTGAATTTTAATGTAATTGATTAAGTTGTTCAAGTTTCACCATTTTTTGGTCACTTCTATTGAAAACATTAAAAAACATCAACATTATTCCACTTTTGTGTGCATCTATTTATAATGTGACGTTATTTCGGAGTCTTTTATAACTGATTTTTCTTCACCATAATGTAAATAATGCATTTTATAATTAATGCTTATAAAAAACATGAATATAACTTGTTTCCTTTTACATTTCTGTTCTCAGTTGGGTTTAAGCCTTTTAAAAACACAAATGTACAAGAGGTGCAGGACATACAGTATTAAATCACATACCGTACTGTGAAAGACAACGCTGTGGCCGTTGCCCCCACTCTCGATGTGGGTGGCGAGGTTAAGACACACGGCTCTGTGACGAATAGCGTCCATAGTCTGGACATCAAAGAAGTCCTGGGGCCTTGCTGAAATGAAAAGCAAGCAGGTTAAATGAAAGATAAGTTGAAAAACAAACACACAAACTAATAGAAAACTGTAAAATATTGTGGTGATAATAGGAAAAATGCCACAGCTTTCAATAAATAACCATATGGTTATCTGAATGATGTTTCTCTGCAAGAAAAAAATGAACGTGTGCATGTTTTACAAGAACATACAATTATCATTTACACTACATTATTTTATTTCACTTTCATTGCTTTAACACTAAATATTCATGGGAAACAACCTTGTGCCAACAAAATAAACATTGGAACAAGAAATGTGTTCTTTTTACAAGTTATAAATATATTTATAAGTTGTTCAAGGTTTCATAATAATGAAAAAAAAAAAATATATATATATATTTAGAAAATAGACGTCCTTTAAAATCTTAATATTCTAAACAGTAGTGCCTCTTAAATGGTAAAATCTGAGACAGACTTGGCATTCAAACCAATGCAAATTTGTAATTATATTTTTTAAGTAGTCTGATGTTTATTTTTTAATACAGAGGTTTTCTAGGATAGAACTTGCTGGTTTAAAATGATGAGTTTGAGGATCAGAGCTGGTAGTAATCAAAAGATATCCAGAATTGGCAGCTAACACCAGGAAATCTGGAAAAATGTTAACACTGTGACAAAAATATTTCAAATTGACCAAATTCTGTTTAATGGTGCTCCATATTCCTAAAGTAACATTTTACTGACCCATCTGAGTCACATCATATACTAATAGCACACACAGATACTCAGTCAAAACATCATTTTAATTTATTTTTAGGTATATTCAAAAACAAAAGGACTGAAATACCACAAATGTGTTGATTTTGTAATAAAAGGAGAAAGATAACAGTACTGTATTTTCCACTGTAAACGTCACACCGCCTGTAAGTTGCATCAGTACAAATATGTCTAAAAAAAGTGGAAAAATACATAAATATGCCACTTCGTCGTATCTATTATGCGTTACTGCTGACGTGTCTGTTACGTGTCACAGCTGACTACCCTGAAATGTGGGCCGAACCTGGAAAAATGCGCCTGCTGGGCTGGTGGTGTGCCAAAAATAGATTGGCTGCCAAATGGCAGCCGCGGGAGCGTGCACGCGAGGACTTTTACAAGAATTTAACAAAATAAACACTTAAAAACAATTATTTGTTTGCTTGACTTTATAGTAAAGGTGTGTCTCAGTCTAACGTTTGCTTAATAAAAGGACTTTGACGGTCAAATCAGCTGAATTTCAAAAGTATTCGCTGAATCGGTGATTCAGGAGCAAGCAGACGTGGAGGAAAAAAGGAAGGAGGAACGCTGCGCGTTTCTTCGAAATTTAACAAGATAAGCACCTAAAACAATTGTTTGCTCGACATTATAGCAAAGGTGTGTCTCAGTTGAACTTTTACCTAATAAATTCACTTTAATAGGCAAATCAGCTTCATTTCACTGGGGCGGTGCAGCGAAATGAAGCTGATTTGACGGTTGCTCCAAGCAGCGAGCTGGACGAAGGTGGCAGGCTATGGCAAGCTGATTGTATCATTAATAGTTGGTTTTCTCAGTCATCCAGGTCATGGTAAATTCAAAAAAGTTCAAGACCAAAACAATAAAGTATAATGTAAAGGATAATAAATAAAGTCCAGTTGTGTTTTTGTTTTGAACTTTTTGAATTTGTTATTTATAGCCACTTTTACCTATAACTTGATACAACGGCATGCCATGCTACTCGAGTGCCACCTAGTGGCTGAAAATGGTAGTGTTCTTTTTTTTTTTCAGTCAGAATGAATGAAAACGGTCACATCTCAGCCAACAACTGGTTTATAAATGGGGGGGGGGGGAGAGATCCATAAATATGTCGCTTCGGTGTATGTCACAGGACATGCAAATTATGCAAAAAACTGTGACTTTATAGGGCGAAAAATACGGTATTTATGTTGGCTTGTGTGCTTGTTTGTACGTACGTAGGGACCATCTGCGTTTGTTTTTGATTTTTTTCCTCTTGTTGAGTCCAGCCTTGGAGGGCGATTCCTCCTTCAGTTTGGCCTGACTGGACATCTTTGAGGAGTTCTGCTGGCTGAAGTGACTGGGAACATGGCGAGCCAACCCTCCTTGTGAGGCAAAGCTGGCGTTGCAGCCACCGACTACACACTGCGACAGACAAACAGGAACAGGATTAACGCTACAGTCTGCAGGTACAAAACAACTGCAGTTTAGAACTGGCTGTTATGTGCAACAACAAAAATGAACTTGTTTGAAAAGGCTCAAGTACCTAAAGGGTGAGTCACAGTTTTCAACATTTTCACAAGTGTACAAACCGTACGCTGGGGGAGAGAGGTCAAAGACTGGTGTATGCTTTTCAAAATGAAAATAAAAAACGTAGAAAGCCTTTATTTTTATTATACATCTTGAATAACTGCAGATATTGCACACATCATCTGATGGACGGTGAGCCTGTGTGCAAGCAGTGGCCCAGTTGTGAGCCCCTCTCCATCCCAAAGCGCTCGGAGCAGACACACTGAAAACGTGCACGTGCACAGCCGCCGCTGAGCCCGCTCTAGCTTACAGAGCCCCCACACCACGCCCCCAACCTCCCCAGGACTTCAGCATCTAAAATCTGACCTGCAGTAAATGTTACACGTGATTGAGATGAGATGTGTGCTTGTTTAACTTTATCCCACCCCACCCAAAAAAACAAACTGTGTGTAGTTGATCATAAATATCTGTACTTTAACACACTTTAAAATGTAAGCTTTATTGTTCTTAGGGTAGCAGTTTTTTACAAATATCCATTTTACAAATGCAACATAATCCCAGATTTTTTTAAGAGCACACCCAGATTAAAGTGTAGGTTTTACCTTGAAGGGTTTATCTCCACTGTGGGTCAACATGTGTCTCTGGAGCCAGCTCTGACTGGTGGAGGGGGTGTTGTACACCTTACAGCCCTTCCACAGACACACAAACACCTGAGAAACAAACACATATTTAAAAGTAGCCAAAACATTATGACAACAAACTATAAAGGTCCTTTAAACTATGTCCCTGCTTTATTTAATAGGCTGGAATCATTTTAAATATTTATGCTGATACTTTTAGGAGAAAATAAAATTCTAACATTTAACTACTGCTGATGGCTGGTGACTGTGTAAACACTTTTATTGTCTGTTTTTGGTTAAAGGTCAAATTAAATAAAACAGACAAAAGAGTTTTCATGATTCTCTTTTAGTTAACACTTCCATAAAACATTCCAGTGGTCAATGCTCTGATTTAAAAATCAATCGTATTGACTTGTTTTTAGAGTTTGTGTAAAAACCTCAAAATGGGGTCAGAGTTACCATAGGTGAGCGCATCACCAGCCAGCTGTGATAAAACTCTGCAGGACACATGGTTAACATTGTTTTGTTCATGTGTGTACTAGGGGTGCACGGATTGCAGTTTTCTGTCCGATCACTGATTTTTTAAAAGTTTGACGTGCCGATTCCGATTTAGTTTTATAAGCGACACTGTTATAACGTCACAATGCACCTTCAATTTTCCAATATTATTTTACTGAAAAACAGACCCTTGAATAATATCCTAGAAATAACACAAACTTGTTTTAACTGGTCATGAGGTAGTGCTCTGAAATATAAATGAAGTTCAGACAATTGTTGTAAAACTTAAAAAAAATAAAAAAATAAAAAAAAAATCAGTAAAATTGGTTTCTCATGCAAGTATTGGCCGATTTCCAATTTCCCAAAATTAAGGAAATCGGGGCCGATATCAGTGCACCCCTAGTGAGAGCCAATTTTCCCACCATCCTTGCCATTCCAAAGTAGAATTTGGCAATTTTGCCATGCCTTAATCAAAATTTCTAATATGGGAATATAAAGGGCAATGCACTGTGTAAATCAGGTAATATCAAATTGTTGATAGTAGAACTGAGAAAAACATCAAGATTTTAGAAAACAGAAATATTCCATCCATCCATTATCTTCCGCTTATTCCGGAGTCGGGTCGCGGGGGCAGCAGCTTGAGAAGGGAGGCCCAGACATCTCTTTTCACAGCCAGCTCTTCCAGCTCTTTTGGGAGGATTCCAAGGCGTTCCCAGGCGCACAGAGAGACATAGTCTCTCCACAGCGTGTCCTGGGTCTTCCTCGTGGTCTCATCCCAGTTGGACATGCCTGAAGCACCTCTCTAGAGAGGCGCCCAGAGAGCATGCTTACCAGATGCCCGAACCACTTCAACTGGCTCTTTTCGACGTGGAGGAGTAGCGGTTCTACTCAGAGTCTCTCCCGAATAACTGAACTTCTCCCCCTGTCTCTAAGGGAGAGTCCAGCTACCCTGCGGAGAAAACTCATTTCAACCGCCTGTATCCACGATCTCATTCTTTTGGTCACTACCCAGAGCTCATGATCATAGGTGAGGGTAGGAATGTAGACTGACCAGTAAACAGAGAGCTTTGCCTTACAGCTCAGCTCTCTCTTCACCACAACGGACCAGTACAGAGTCCGCAATACTGCCGATGCTGCACCAATCCATCTGTCAATCTCACGCTCCATTCTTCCTTCACTCATGAACAAAACCCCGAGATACTTGAACTCCTCCACTCACCCTCGACCTGAAGAGAGTAATCCACCCTTTTCCGGTTGAGGATCATGGCCTCAGATTTGGAGGTGCTGATTCTCATCCCAGCCGCTTCACACTCTGCTGCGAACCGCTCCAGTGAGAGTTGAAGATCACAGCACGATGATGCCAACAGGACCACATCATCTGCAAAAAGCAGAGATGGAATCCTGAAGCCACCGAACCGGAAACTCTCCTCCAGCTGGCTGCACCGAGAAATTCTGTCCGTAAAAGTTATGAACAGAATTGGTGACAATGGGCAGCCCTGGCCGAGTCCAATTCCCACCCTGAAGGGGTCCGACTTACTGCCGGCAATGCGAACCAAACTCTTGCACCGCTTGTATAGGGAGTGAACAGCCTGTAACAACAGGCCTCCAATCCAATACTCAAGGAGCACCTCCCACAGTGGACCCCGAGGAACATGGTCGAATGCCTTCTCCAAGTCCATAAAACACATGTAGACTGGGTGGGCAAACTCCCATTACCCCTCAAGGACCCTAGTGAGGGTAAAGAGCAGGTCCAGTGTTCCACGGCCAGGATGGAACCCACATTGTTCCTCCTGGATCTGAGGTTTGACCAACGATCGGACTCGCTTCTCCAGTACCCCTGAATAGACCTTAACAGGGAGGCTAAGGAGAGTGATGCCCCTTTCTGGTCCCCCTTTTTGAAGAGGGGAACCACCACACCAGTCTGCCAGTCCAGTGGCAGTGCCCCCGATGTCCACGCAACATTGCAAAGGCTTGTCAGCCAAGACAGCCTCACAACATCCAGAGCCTTAAGGAAATCAGGGTGAATCTCAGCCACTCCCGGAGCCCTGTCACCTCGGAGCTTTTAACTACCTCGGCGACCTCAGCCACGGTTATGGATAGATCAACCCCAAAGTCCCCCGATTCAGCTTCCTCCATGGAAGACATGCTGGTGGGATTGAGAAGGTCCGAGAAGTATTCCTTCCACCTCCCGACGACATCAGTGGTTGAGGTCAACAGCACCCCACCTTCACTGAACACAGTGAAGGTGGGGTGCTGCTTTCCTCTCCTCAGCTGCCTGATGGTTTGCCAGAATCTCCTCGGAGCCGACCGACCATATAAACATTTTCATTAAATATATAAAATGAGACTACCGGTATATCATTTACATCGATATAGTCTATGCTGCGTTACATTTGTATTTTTAGATCCACCAGTTCACCTTTCTCTTCTTCCCATTTGTCAGTGCTCCCCGTCCCCCTCACTGAGCACAGCTCACCTGTCCCCCCACCCCTTCACCAGGTAACTTGAGGCAGTGATGGATAAACACAGGGGAATATATCGAAGAGGAGCTGGGCTCAATTATTTGGAGATGCTGTGGATTCAAAGTGATGAACAGCAGAATAATGTGTCGTGTAGAGAATGTGTAAAGCACGTGATGAAAAGGTTCGAACATGTAACAGAGCCATAAAGTTGAGTATGCAGCCTGTGTGAAACGGCATGCTGCAGCCCAGATGGTAAAAGCTTCACGGTGTAGCATTCAGTCTCCTGTACCAAGAAAAACTGTTTCAAAACTCATAGTGTGCTGTGCAGTATAAAAGAGAAAGTGAGAAGTGGCATGACATTACTACCATACCATTTTATTTATAGAGCACTAAAAACAGCGACAAGGCCAACCAAAGTGCTGTACAGACAGAACAACAGGTAACACACAAAGCAAAATACAAAATGAAGTAAATCAGAAATATAGACATAAAAATGATGCAGATAATGACGATAAACCAGTGTGGAGCATACAGGTTCAAGTGTGGAGCGTACAGGTTCAAAACACAGATCATCTGGTGTTGAAAGCTACTGAATAGTAGTGAGTTTTTAAACGGGATTTGAAAACCGAGCGGGAGGGGGCCTGTCTGACAAGCAGAGGCAACTCGTTCCAAAGTCTTGGTCCTGCGACAGAGAAGGCCCCGTCACCTCTGCGCTTAAGACGAGTTCCTGAAACTGTGAGGAGCAACTGGTCCGCTGATCAAAGCAGTGTAGCGTTAGCTGAAGCCTGGCCTGCAGGATGAACTCACAAGCTGGAAGCTCAACCAAACAGGACTGGTTGCTGTAACTTAAAACAACAGGACTAATGTCACCATTGATGAGTGAATATTACATCATCTGATTTAAAATAGGACAAACATACATCACCAACCAGCTGAAAATGCTGAGATATTATCTCCTGATTAGGGGTTGAACGAGTATATAATTTTTAAACTCGACATTAACATAATAAAACCCGAGTAGAACTCGAGTATTTGATGACGTCATAGATCTCAAGATACAAAAATAAATAAAAGAATAAAACTGCAAAAAAGGTAATTTTTACAAAAAAAGACCAACAAAACATTGGGAGCGTATATTATGCTCCTACCATTTATCATACTGCAAATAAGTCACAGGAAAAACTAAACTATTAGTTATTATTATTAAACTGCAAACGTGAAGAAACGTGCAGCACGTCAAAAACGAAACTTAAAACGAAACTGGTTCTGGTTCGGTGGATTAGACCCGGTGTTACACCATACTCTGTGACCTGCAACAGTGCAACACCGCCCCCTACGGTCATACGGTGGTCATATAATATGACGTCACTACGGTTACTTGACATAACATTTTTAACCCCGATAGATGTTCTAGCAATCGATGTGTAGATTACTCGAGTACTCTGTTAATGCCCTACTCCTGATGCATGTTCAATAATCCAGTAAGAAAAATCTAACTAGGTTAAGTCAGGTCCTCTGGACAGATTCCTCTTGTTGAAATGTTTAACTGTCCCCCTCTTAAAATGTTGTTATTGCAAGTATCACTCAGCCCTCTGTGAATAGCAAGCAGCCATCTGGGTACTAACGACCAATTGTTAGGCGGATAGTCCTCCTTTAACATGTGAACAGCTAGTTTTGGTTGTCAGCAACAAACTGGTTGATCCACTATGAGAAGGTGCTATTTAGGCCCTATTTACACGGACACGATGGGGGGAAACTTAGGGTTTTTTCGTATGTTAATAAGAGGAAAAAATTTGCGTTGACACGGTCGCATTTTGGGTTTACATGCATCCAGAGGATTCCCCCCCGCCCTCCCGAATCTGCTGTAGTTACCATGCCGGGTCATTAGATGGTGCTGTGACTTTTGTACCTTCACCTAATGCGCATGCGTGCTGCCTCGGCACGCTTCTTTCCTGTGAGCTAAAAAGCTCAGCTAACAACGTAACAACAAGTTAAAGCTGGATTTTGGATAAGAGTCGACAGATTTGACGCCAAGCGGGACGGCTTCATCTAACAGCTCCACACCGGTTACTGAGTGGACCAGAACCGAGTCGACAATGTCAGACTTTACTCCGTGACAATCAGTAGCTGTTTTACAGCAGGTAAATCAACGTTCTTAATAATGTTAGCTTGTGTTTACTTCAGTTACAAAACAATCAACTGAGTTTTTATTTTTTTCCTGAAAGAAGAAGAAGCTGTCCTCCCACCAGGCGGACCGGTTCTGAACGAGGCTCGGCCCAGATGAACTGCAGGAGGACGTCGAAGAGAGATGTTGATGAACTATTTGTTTAAAATTCCCCTCATTTCTTTTATTCAATCCATTCAAGTTCAGTAAACGTGTTTTAATAGTGTGTTCAGTTTAATTATCAGTGTTTGTGGGACAAACAGTTTGTGGTGTTGAATAAATAAAAAAATAAACCTGATGTCTTCATTTTCAACTTTAGTAATCACGCTACATGTTTAGCATAATTTTAAATTTGAAGTAATAATGTCCAGATAGCTTCATTTAGCTCAGAGCTTCATTATATCTCAGACTAACATAAATACTGTTTATTATTATTAAACTGTTAATATTTAGCACATTTAGTATGTTATAGTGCAGCGTGACGTGTGCCTCGTTCTATAAACAGCAACATTAGAACTGGATCAGACTGTGTCTCTTCCAACACAGATGTCGGTCACAGCACCTGGAATCTGACGTAGATTAACTACGAGATTAAAAATATATGCCATCAGTCGAGGTTCAGAAAGCAGTGTGTCTGCCGCCGTGTTGATAGAAATATAGCGTCGGTCCACACGTGCGTGTGCGCATGTGGTTTAACACAAAGCCTCAGCGGGGGGTCAGTGAAAAACCTCCACTCTGGAAGGTGGGTTCAGAAACCTCCGGATTCAAAGAGGGGGGCCACTGGTGTCGTGTAAATGATCAGCAGAACCGCAGAGAGAAAGCTGCGGATGCACTCAAAATACGCGCCATGTAAACGGCCCCTGAGTTTGTTGCAGCTCCTCAGACTGAAGAAGTCTTTTGGATAAATCCAATAATTGTCAGTCAGGTCATCTGGACAGTTTCTTTTTTTATAGAGATGTTTCGTTCCTGCCCCCCGTCGACTCCTCCCAGGCAGGCAGCCACAGCCAAAGCGGTTCAAGGAAACAAAGTTCATGCTCAATCATCCAGGTATCAAGTCCAATAATTCTCAGTCAGGTCATCTGGACAGTTTCTTTTCTTTCTTTCTTTTTTATATAGAGACGTTTCACCCTCTATCCGGAGGGCTTCTTCAGTCTGAGGAGACAGGACAGCCCCAGAAACCATCTTAGCTTCAGTAAACTGGTTGGTCCACTTGAGTTTACTGCTTGGTGGTGAAACAGTTTACTGGAACTCCTCTGACTGATGAAGCCATCTGGATAGAGGGTGAAACGTCTCTAGAAAAAAAGAAACTGTCCAGATGACCTGACTGAGAATTATTGGATTTGATACCTGGATGATTGAGCATGAACTTTGTTGTCTTTTGGATAAAAGACGAAACGTTTTAACAAAGAAGAATCCATCCAGAGGACCTGTCTTAACCTTGTTAGAGTTGAGATATTATATTTGATCCATATTGCACAGCAGTAATGGCTTGGAACAATATAGTTTGAACAATTTAAGTGAGCAGGAGGTGACTCTTAAGATTAAACACCCTTTTCACTTAGTCACTCTGTTTTTCTGTATTGAACATTCCACTAAATATATGAACAATTTGGGTATGGGGCGATCTTGTCAGTTGTTAAATAGTGAAATAGTTCATATGATAAATAACAGGTTGACTTTGGGCTACATTTTTCACACCTAAGGTAAAGTAACTAAAGCAGTCAAACCTTCTCATCTGCCTGAAGAATGGAACGCTCGTAGTTTTGAGTCAGTTTTCCCAATTAATAATAATAATAATAATAATAATAATAATAATAGCAACACGCTGAACCATTTCACCCACACACTATCCATATTCACATACTTGGCAATTTATGACTTTGTTTGGGATTCTTTGTTTGGCACTGATGATATTACACTTCTTACACAAGAGACACAATCGATCGTTTAATCTTTAATTATTAATTGAAAATTAGTGTGATTTTTTTTAAAACGTGAGACCAAAAAACCACCTTAATGCCTTTTTTTTCAATTTATGGTAGCTTCACTCCACCTTCGAGGTGAACATTTAATGCTCAAGCTTTCCACTTTTTTTCTGCTCCATGTTGGGAGTGTGCACAACAACCCCCCCTGCCAAGCAAAGAAAAGGCACCAACTTGGAATGAAGGAGTGAATAGGATCAACGCTAAGCTCGTCTAAAACTTTCTAGGTCTACTTACCCCTCCTCTCTGCCCGTCCACATGGATTCCCCTGATGTGCTCGGCCAGATCCGGACTGGAGTTAAAGCATTGTGGACAAAGGTCCCAGCAGCAGGGGTAAGCCAGCGTCTTGGCTGCAGAGGACCTGGCACTACTCTGTCCATTTAACAAGGCAGGGGTGGAGCGCCCGCTGGACACTATGCTCTCCATATCCATCAGGGTACTGCTGCTGGTGCTGCAAGACAGGAAGTATGCATCAAATTAAACGAATAGATCAGGCTGTGCAAAGACATGCACAACAGGTGCAGATTTTATATTTGCCACATTACATAGTTAGAAGATGTGAACGCCTCTTCAGGCTGGAATTGATTTTCAATGCTTACCACATCCGCTCATGCCAGATCAATTTTATGCCACATTTTTACTACGGCCTTTTAGCTAACAGTAGATCACACTACGTCCCCTTCATGTTTAAATCTCTGCTACTAAAATGTGCTCCATGTGTCAGGACTGCCTCCCTCTGATGTTTGTGCAAAGTGTTATAGAAGATGAGCACAATTGAAGTGCATGAGGTGAAACTTAAAGAAACTGGTCCAGATGACACGATTTAACCTTTTTGTTGTTCTCTACCTGGATGACTGAGCCTCCAAACCGTTTTCATGAGGTGAAGTGTGTCTGTGCTGAGTAAAACTTTAAGAACATTCACCACAGACTTCTCTAGAAATCTGGGGTTTAACATTTGTAATGCAGTTCAGTTATGTTTCATTAAAACAGTGGCGCAGAATTAGAACTTGGAAATCCGCAGGAAGAATGTCTAAACATAGTTAAGTGCAGCAGATGTAGATGTAACCATTAAAACAACTTGGACTGTGTGCTGGTCCCCAGACCATCACAACCTGTTCTCCACCGACCTGTCCTCCGAGTCCAAGCGGCTCAACTGTTCGCCATCCGAGGATGAGATCTCCACGCTCGTCCGCCTCTTGTCGCCTCCGCCGCTGTTTTTATCCCCGTCCTCACACACTCCGTTAGAAACGGTCTTCTCGCTGTCCATCACCGAACACCGGCTGTCGTCGTCTGGTTCCTCCTTGGCGTCTTTAACCGTGTCGTCCCCGGTGTGCTCGTCGCTGCCTTCTTCCAGGCTCGGCCGTGACCCCGGTCTTTCCTCCGGCTCTTCGGATACGGCTGCTCCCTCCCGGGTGACCGCCGAAGCGCCGCCGTCTGTTCCCACGTCCCTCGCGGCCTTGCCTGTTGTTGTAGCGGGCTTCTTTTCGCCCGCCTCGTCCATTTTCGGCTCACCGCTGCTGCCTGTTTGTTCAGTTTCCGGCTCGGAGAGGCCGTTTTCTTTCTTCTCGGGGTCGCTCTCGTTGGTCTTTCCGGGGGGTGCATCGCTCCCAGCGCCCAGGGCGCTCGTTTCCTCGGCAGGTACCGCGGCCATTTCTCTGGCAAACACAAAAAGGGACGCTTTCCGTGTTAAATCTGATGCCACGGGCCAACCGTTCCCCTTCAGCAGGAAGGCGGGGCTTGACAACAATGCCTGCTCTCTGATTGGTTAAAAGCTGCACGAGGAGGCGGAAACTCTGACGTTATTTAAAGTTTCCATGTGTTTCTCTAAAGAACTCGTTACTGTAAGAGTGGGCTCAAACCGTGGGGGTTTCACAATAAATTACACTTTCAATATTACCTGAACAAGATATAAGTGTCCACACTTAATTTTTTTTCTATTGTAGGTGGCATTTTCCCCCCATTTTTTATATAGTTGAACTTAAACCTGACTTCTTAGATGCACAAGTATTCATCATCAAATAATTAAAAAATTTGAACAAAATTATAATTTTTACTACTAAAAGTGAGCTCAAAGTACTTAAAAAATGAGTTTTATGAAGATGCTATTATGTATAGTTACCACCAGAGGGCGCCACAGATCAAATTTTAAATGAGTTGTTAAAAACAGCAGCTCACAGGAACTGAGCCAAAATTAAACATTTATATTTGGGCATGTTTCTAAATGTTTATGAGAAATGTCAGCCTAGTCTCAAAGAGAAAAACCTTCCAGATGTGTCCCAAGATTTGTTTGTCGTCTAATTAGCGATGAAGTTAAAACTCAGTCTGCTCCTCAAATAAATAACATTTACTTACTTTTTATGTATATGAATGTTTCTGTCCAGCACCCTGAGGTCACTTCTATTGTGACTTGGTTCTTTATAAATAAAATGATAACACATCAAAAAGTTACTGTCAGCATAAATGTTGACCAAACTCTTTCTCCTTTAAAGCTAGACCAGAATTATTTTTCCACAACGGCTGGAAACAAAAAAATGACAAACAAGAAAAGACAACGAGATGTTACAAACAGCTACGTTTATTTAACATGATATAAAACAGATGGGATATGAACATTTCCAAATCATATCTGGTCTGTAACTGTATGCTGGACCTCTCATAGATGTACCATGTACATTATATACACAGTAAACTTCTGATAATTACACTTTGTACACACACAAAAATATCTTGAATTTACAAAAGCTTCATTTTATTGCTTTTTACACATGCAGACCCTACTAATTTACCTCCAGGGCTTTAAACCAACTGTAGCATCAAGCTTTGAAAAACTGTGCCCCTCTCTCTGTTCAAATATATCTTTCAGTCGTTAGGAAACAGACAGTGAAGAGCGACTCTTGTCAGAACATTCATATATGTATTGGCAGCAATGTGTCAATGACCGAGGATCTAATCTTTAAATAAGTCATGAGAAATATAAGAAATTACAAATATTCTAAGCCTGCAATAATAAAGTAACCCTTCCTTCTTATATTGGAGGGATCATATTTCATATTAACTCTTCAGTATGGACAAATATTATTTTTACAATAAATGGATAAATGGGTTAGGCAATTATTAATATCTGAAATAGACTGAATTAAATAGTAAAAGGTTTGGGCAAACTCAAAATAAAATTGGATGTATCTTGAAATTTTTTTGAACAGGAGTTCAAACAGAAGAGAAAAATGTGACACGACCTAAAATATTCTGTCACAGGAGTTTAGACTTGCAAAAAGAGCTCAGTCCGTTAAGTCTCTCATATATACACAGCACACATTCCAACAAGAACCTAACAGAACCGTATAAATAATAAACACATTTTAAACTATGTAAAAACTGCACCAATGACTGAAAGCGTTGCATCCCCAAAATGGGGCATTGAAAAGACTAGAAGACAAAAATGCCACCCCAAAGAACCATGTGGTGACATCAGAGCTTTAGACGTCACAGTGAGCAGGCAGAAGTCAAAGGTTCAGCCCTGTGAAGATGGAGGAGGCAGTTTCACTTTCTGTAGACCAAGACTTTGTGCTGATCTCCTAGAAGGAGGTCCTCAGGAGGTGTTTATGTCCTCCCTGCTGTTCCCTTCATGTGTAAGTCTTCACTGAGGCCAGAGCCTGTGCTGGAGAACAAAACATAGACCCTTTATTAATCCCAGGGGGAAATCTGAGGCATCCAGTAGTACGTTCTAATTATACAGAAAAAACACGAAATAATCAAAAGAAGAAGCAGAATACACACATTTGGAAAAAGACAATATGCACATGCACAAGGTGGTAGGGAGTACTACACTCATGATTAACATATATATATATATATATACATACATCCAAGCATACATATAGAGCTTATTCTGGTAATATTACGGGTTTATTCTGGTAATATTACGAGTTTATTCTGGTAATATTACAGGTTTATTCTGGTAATATTACGAGTTTTTTCTGGTAATTTATTCTGGTAATATTACGAGTTTATTATGGTAAGTTATTCTGGTAATATTGCGAGTTTATTCTTGTAATATTGCGAGTTAATACTGGTAATATTGCGAGTTTATACTGGTAATATTGCGAGTTTATACTGGTAATATTGCGAGTTTATACTGGTAATATTGCGAGTTTATACTGGTAATATTGCAAGTTTATTCTGGTAATATTACGAGCTTATTCTGGTAATATTACGGATTTATTCTGGTAATATGATATGATTTGATCTGATTTACTTCATTTTGTATTTTGCTTTGTGTGTTACCTGTTGTTTTGTCTGTACAGCACTTTGGTTGGCCTTGTCGCTGTTTTAAGTGCTTTATAAATAAAATGGTATGGTATATTACGAGTTTATTCTGGTAATATTACGGGTTTATTCTGGTAATATTATGAGTTTATTCTGGTAATATTACGAGTTTATTCTGGTAATATTACGGGTTTATTCAGGTAATTTAGGGTTGTATACTGGTAATTTATTCTGGTAATATTGCAAGTTTATTCTGGTA